GGTCTGTAAGGTAAGGTTGCTGTGGAAATTTGTATTTTAAATTATTGAAGTAGTGGCAAAATCTGTGTATAAAAGACAGAGGGAATTCACTAATATTCACCAGTCTTCAAGATTTCATCCCAGGAGAAGCAGCTCAGTTTAACAGAGATACTACCAAAAAAGATGTCGTACCGTACAATTGCTTCAACTGATTCAGAGGTTAGTAACTACTTAGTAAATATCTTATAACCAAAGCTAATTGGAGGCCAGTCGTAACACTACTCAACGCTATGGTTATAATTCTTAAAATATGAGAGAATACGGAGCTTTTTAGGGCTCCGTAAACCACCCACGACAAAAGGGGAACACTTTTGTCGCGACCTGTGAGCCGCACCGCGTGATGACCCAAGGGCCAAGTCGGTGGAGCTCACAGGCTTTGTACACGCAACGGCAAGTGAATGCCGAGGATTTATTAAAGGGGAAAATAATATAAAATAATAAGAATAGTTTTAGGGTAATCAAGTGGATATATTAAATTGGCATTACAAGGGGAAATTGAAATTTAACATGATAAAGATTAAGAATAATATGACAATGATAATATGATATAATAATTTTGGCGCACGGCAAATGCAAACAATATAATTCGGTGGCACATGGCATATATAAAGTAATAATTTAACTTTGGTCGCATGCTTTCCCGGCCCGCCGGAGGCGACACACCATATTACTCATGGTGTGTCCTCGCAGGGTTACCGGGAAAGCGTGCCGGGAAAGGGGGGACAGGGGAAATAAAATCATATTACGACATTTGATATTTTGATGTGACGAGCTGCGTGGTCGATGTTGTAAGCTGGGGCAGTTGTGGCCGCCGCCCGGGCCCTCGTGGTTCACTCAGCCCATCATGGTGAGCGATCGCAGGTGTCACAGTATGTTGACGGTAGTTGAAAAAGATTTTCGGAAGTGGGTTGTTTGTCGATCAACTCGGTTGCCTCGTGGTCTGCAGGTCGTTTAACAAAGACGAGTGTATGAAGTCGACCGGGCAGGTGTGGAGATGTCAACCAGGCAGGTGAAAGGCCGTAAAAAAAAGTGATTTTGCTGACACGGAAACCCGGCGACGACGGTGGCTTGTTGCCGGCGGCGGAGCTTTTCTTTTCGTTGGTGGGGCAGGTCAGTGTCGTCATTGTGTGGGAATGTACAATATGTTCGGGTCGTTCAGGACTGTTCTGCCGGTGCGGTGCCGTCGGACGCGACAAAAGCGCCGACAGCAACGGCGGCCGTGTGTGGCGACATGAGGACACCGTGCACTGCGGGTTTGTGGGGGCCGGGGAACAATAATTACATAATACTGCGGTCATTTCTGCAATAGTGCGCGATAATCGTAATAATTTATAAATAAGGTACGCTCATTAGTGGCAATATGGGTACAGGTATGTTTGTGATTATAATAATATGAATGCAAAAAATGCTGTGACGTTACAAATAATATTAAATGCCTGATTATAGCATAGTTCAAAAAACTATATAGTAACTAAAGCATATTGGAGGTCAGTCGTGACATTACTCAACGCTTTGGTTATAATTCTTGGAACATAGAAAATATAAAATGAAAAAATAGTAAAAACAATATACTATGTTTTATGTTTCATAGAATGAACATTTCAGCGAATCAATTGATATGAGACCGTCTTTTTCAAAAACAAAACCTGGTCTAAAACGTACTGCAGAAAAAACAAGTGTGAAAAAACCTATGAAAAAAAAGCAGAATAAAATGGTAGTATAAATAATATTTATTATAATGATAGCATAAATAATTTAATTTTTTTATAGAATGTATCATACAGAGATAATGTTACCGAACGTTTGAGATCAGAAGAATTTGATGTCGAGTTAATTAATTCGCTAACATTTAGACAAGGGGACGGTGGTGTTGTAACAATCAAGTCACCTTTTGAAGAAAAAGCAAAGGAGCTTTGGGTAATTAGCCACTATAAGGTTGCTAACATTGAGAATGTACCAGTAAAAGACAGGTAAATACATTGGTTTAAATTTAAAAAACCTATTGATGAATCTGTTTTTTTTTTCACTGATTTTATTTACTTCTTTTGTTTTTAAAATAAAATAATTTGGTGTTATAGATGGAAGTTCAGTGAAGCTACTGTCAGATTGTATACAAGCGATGAATCAAAAGATCAAACGCTTCATACTGGTCTTAATGAGGCAATGCAAACCATATTTGACAAATTACTAACCGATCCGAAGCGTCAGACTATTAAAAGCAAGACGACCGTTTGATTATTATATGAAAAAATGAGTTTCATTTAATAAACAAAATATTATTATACATGTATGTTTTTATTTATTCAAAACTTAAAGGTCTTGGAAAACATAAACCTATAAACTATGGTTGGTTGGGAAAAAATTTAAAATATTAACAAATTAAAACTAAAACTTATTAAAACTATTCTTTATGATTTAAGGTGAGATGTAATTAAAATAAAAAGCAAGTTTATTATTGAAAAAAAAGTTTTATTAAAAAAAAACAATAATTATACATATTTAAATATTTTTTTTATAATATTAGATCTTGCAAAATCATATCAGACAATGTGTTAAAATGGAATTGTAATATTTCATATAAAAATGATGTGTCATCGTTCTGTAGGTGATTATAATAATTAAAATCATAGTTTTGAATATATTGGTTGGTAAATTCGTTCCTCTGACAGGTGGACGGCAGACCACGGACATCATTTTTAATTAGGTCATATGCAGTGTTGAAAGTATTTTGATAATTTGCTAAACGTTTTTGCTTGTCTACCACGTACAAATCTATCAAATTCTGTAATTGACGAAGTCGGTACAAATCTACATGTGACAAGGTAATGTATTCCTCATTTAGATGTAGGGTAATTAAACTCTGTTTAACATTGGTTGAATATGAAAAGGAATCGGTGATTTTTACACGCCTCACCCTAGTATTTAAATTATTAATAATCGAATTGTAATTAGGTTCAGACATCAGTGTAAACCATTCTTCTAAACTTAATGTGATAATTTTCTTTGTAAGTTTACATTCCAATAATAAAATAATTGAAATCTGCTTGTTAATTAGTAATCCAACTGTAATACTTTTCTTGTTAAAAGCCCGGATGTCGAATGTAGACTTACAGACAATTATTGGTGAACTCATGGTGAAGTTATTTTTGACAAATTTAAAAAAAAAAATCTTTTATAAATAAGAAGTGGGATATAACTGTTAGGAGTTATACATTGAACTGTTAGTTTGTTCCCTTTACAGTCATATTATATACTAAAAAACTCTGGAAAAAATGCAAAAAATGTGAACATACAGATAGCCAATGAGTGCGTACAAGAGAGGGAATTTACATATACTTACTAACCTGTTACCTGAAAAACATTTTAAATTATTTTATACGCACTAATTCGCTAGGATTGTATGTCCACGAGACATTAAATCGAATATTAACACATTTAAGATAAAAAATTCAATTTTTTTTTATTTTTTTTTATCCAATACAGCAAATATTATAAGCAGCATAAATATATGTACCTATATATAAACATTTAAAAAAAAAAAAAAAACATGATTTAACAAATGGTGTCGTACGAACCGGTTTCACAATTACAAATAACTTCGGTTTTACAATATTTACTTAAGACTTTTTGAACAAACTGATTTCCTTTCATTAACAATACAAATAAACATCTAGGTGAGAATCGAGTATGTTCTATGAAACAATTATCACCGATTTCAAAACTATGTAGAATTATTCCACACCAATGACATTGAACTGCATCGTCGAGATTGATATAGTAAAATCCACATTCCGAGAGTTTGTACTTATTCTGTCCGGTATTTGAAGGGAAACTTCTAAAAGTTCGTAACCTCGATACAAATGTAGAGAATTCTGGATACGCTGGCGATGAATTGAATCGTATTTGATCGACCAATGACTGGATATCGTTTGTGCATTTTTGAAAATTCATTTTTGAAGAAATTAAATAACTTATTCAATTTAATAAAACTTTGAGAAAATAAAGAAAAATGAGACACAACTTGAGTGAACGATAGTTCATTAGTAACTGAATATAATAAAAAAAAAATAATCAACTTTAAAAATTATTGTAAATTTGTTTATCAAATTTTAGATAAAAAAACAGTGTAACCAACACGAGTAAAAAAGAAAAAAATATTAAATATTTTTTTGCGTGAGACGAAATTTGGTAGTCAATCAGTGTGAAATTTGTTACACGGTAAATCTGAGTGCTCCAAGGGGACATTCCCCGCTTGAACTTTTTTTTTTCCCTGGAAAAGCTGGCTGTGAACATACAAATATATACTACTGTAGTAATAAAATAAAATAAACAATTCAAATCAAGCGTACCGAAATACAGCGCGACGTTACTGTTTGATGTGTGTTCAATGTACGAAATCTAATGTGTATCCATATCACTTATCGCTATCGCCCCGGGTCGGGTATAATATAACAGGCACGGGTCGTCAGTTAGTTATCCAACGTTGCGTCGGTGACAATACCTTCGAACTGCGAGTCACCTCATTAGTGACAAAAGTAACTCGATATTCATGTGTTAATTTTTTATTATTATCAATATTATATTAAATTATTATTATCAATAAATTATACAGTCCACTAGTTTATTTTTGTATTACTTATTCAAATTGAAACTGAGCCGAGACATTGGTCCAGACGAACCGGATCGTAACGTACGCGTCAATATTATTACACGCATTGTAGTATTTTGAATTACAAGTTCACGGAAGAAAATCAGTAAAAAGCTTCAAGAAAGAAGACAGCATCAGGTGAGTGAGTCTCAATTTAACACGTATTTAAATAAAAAGTGGCCTCCTATAAGTCTTATTAATTCGTCCTTGACTCAAAATAAATCCGTTAGGGAAATTGTGCTTAAGCCTATATCCAAAATATTATATCATCATAACATTATAAACGGTAGATAGTGGGTAGAGGTCGATCACAATGGCTGGCGATAATAATGAATTAGCAGCATTCGTTCTACGTCGCGGTCAGATCAAAGGGCAGCTTACACGATTTCAAACATTTCTGGATGACCCAAAGTCCAATGTTACCACGCAATTAAGATTACGGGCTGAAAAGATACGTGAAGCATGGAGCGAATTTGATGCCATACAAAATAATATAGAGATATTAGACGTTAGTAATGAACAGGTACAATATAGGTCCACATTCGAAGACTTATACTATGATTTAATGTCAAAAGTCGACGATAGATTAGAGGGAAATAACGCACTCGCGCAAAGTCGACAATTAATACAGGCTGATCAAAGTGAAAAAACAAGTCACAAATTTTCATTTGTAAAACTTCAGCCACTCGAAATTCCTACATTCACGGGAAAATTTGATGATTGGGTAACGTTTCATGACATATACTGTGCAATGATACATACAAATAATTGTTTATCAGATATCCAAAAATTTTATTATTTAAGAAATGCGTTAGAAGGCGAAGCAACTTCATTAATAAAAAATTTGGAAACTTCCTCATCGAACTATGAAATAGCGTGGAAAATAATTACCACAAGATACAATAATACACGTATGTTAATACAAACGCATACAAAACGTATTTTTGATCTAGAGCCAATCAATAAAGAATCGGCAATCAAATTAAAACAATTAACTGATTCGCTAAACGGACATATGCAAGCATTAAAAGCGCTAAACCATGACCCATTCAATTGGGGTGCATTGTTATTACATGTAATTTACACGAAACTTGATACGAACACTATCAAGCAATGGGAAATGGAAACGTCCAGAGAAGAACTACCTAGTGTACAAATGTTAATGGAGTTCTTAGGTAAAAGGAATCAGATGTTAGAGTCAGTCGAAAATGCTAGATTACTAACAGTCAAGCAAAACGAATCTAATTATTCACTATCAAAAATCTCAAAATTTGGAACATCAAAGAAGGGTGCGTCAACATTTTTATCTACATACAAAATGAAATGTTACATGTGTCAACAACCACACCCAATCTACAAATGTACCATATTTCTGGCACTTGACATAGCGTCCAGAATAAAGAAGGTCGATGAATTAAAATTATGCAAAAATTGTTTAAAAAAAACAGATCATCATGTAAATTTATGTCCATCGAAAAAATGTACAAAATGTCAACAGTTGCATAATTCACTTTTACATAAGGAAACAAGTTCAGTTGACGAAAATGTCAATATATTATCAAACAATGCATTAGTATCTGCGCATACAGCAAAAGTCAACATTGATAACGAAGTGTTGTTAGCTACGGCAATAATTAAAATATCGAGTCCCGCTGGCAGGCATTCGCATGGGCGAGTGTTGTTAGACAGCGGATCACAGAGCAATTTTATAACAAACAATTTGGTAAACAAACTCGGACTTCAGCGGGAAAAAGTAAACATTCCAATATGCGGTATCAGTGAAACGAATAATACAATAAAATATAAGGTAACAGCTGTAATCAACTCATTAAATAACTCGTACTCTACGATAATTGACCTATTAGTGTTATCGAAGATAACGGGCCCATTACCACGAACGTCTATACGCAGTGTGAACGTTCCGAGTGATATATATATGGCAGACCCGTCGTTTAATTATCCAGGTAATATTGATATACTTATCGGCGGAGACACTTATTGGGACATAATGTGCGCTGATAAAGTAAAAATCAATGATGGACCATATTTACAAAAAACATTGTTCGGATGGGTAGCAGTAGGTAAAACAACGAATAATTTAAGTATGACAAGACCAAACACATGCTTGTTAGCAACTCGGAATCAATATAAAATATTAGAAGGTAAAATCGAAGCGTTCTGGAAAATGGAAGAGGTGTCGTTAAAACGTAATTTCACTGACGAAGAAAATACATGCTCCAAACATTTTATTGAGAACGTCACGAGAAATAAAGACGGTAGATTTGTGGTGAGGTTACCATTCAAGGACAATTATCGGCAGTTAGGTAACTCATATGCATCAGCATTACGAAGATTCTTATCATTAGAAAAACGATTACGCAATAATACCGAGCTATATACGAAATATAAAATGTTTATGCTAGAATATGAAAACCTTAAACACATGGAGTGCGTATGCGACGCAGGCGGTGATAAACAGGTAATCGATGACAATAATTGCTTTTATCTACCACACTCGTATGTGATAAATGACCGCAGTAGAACAACAAAGCTTCGTGTTGTTTTCGACGGGTCAGCAAAAACAAGTACCGGCATATCATTAAATGATACATTAATGAATGGTCCGAAAATACAGCCTGATTTGTTAGAAATCGTCATTCGGTTTAGAACACATAGATATGCGTTCTCGGTCGATATAACAAAAATGTATCGACAGGTATTAATACACAAAGAAGATCGCGATTATCAACGCATATTGTGGAGATCTGATCAAAATGATGAAATAAAAATTTATAAGTTGTGTACTGTAACATACGGTTTAGCACCTGCAGGATTTTTGGCAGTAAGTTGTGTTAACCGCGTTGCTGAGGACGCCGTCAACGTAAAATTAAAAGAAATTATAAAAAACGATTTCTGTGTAGACGATTGTCTTACCGGAGCCGATACGTTAACGGAAGCAATACAATTACGTAATGAACTGATTTCAATTATGCATAAGGCAGGATTTGAATTATCTAAATGGACAGCAAATCATAAAAACCTAATCCCGGACACAAATGAAAACGAAGCATCGTCAGTATCAATGGATAAGGAAAGTGTGAAGACCTTGGGTTTGTATTGGGAACCAAACAGTGATTATTACACTTACGTTGTTCAACCACCGAAAATAAACATTGAGGTAACCAAAAGAGATATTATTGCTGGACTAGCAACATTATTCGACCCATTAGGTCTAGTAGGTCCAGTAATATTAGTGGGCAAAATATTATTACAAGACTTATGGCGTGAGAAAATTGAATGGGATAGTCAAATTCCACCACACATGCAATCGGTGTGGAACGGGTATATCGATTGTTTAAATGAATTAAATACTTTTAATATACCACGTTGGCTTGGATCCGATAATGATAAACAAATTGAAATACACGGGTTCGCAGATGCGTCCATGAAGGCGTATGGCGCCTGTATATACATGCGTACGTCAGATAAGGACGGTAATATTACATGTCAATTAGTGTGTGCCAAATCTCGTATTACGCCAATGAAGGTAATTTCTATTCCTAGATTAGAGCTATGCGCGGCGCTACTTTTATCACGTCTAATGTCCACAGTTATACCAGCACTTAATATAAGTGTGTCAAAAAGATATTTTTGGACAGATTCCACTGTCACCTTAGCTTGGTTAGCTGCAGATTCAGGTAGGTGGAAAACATTCATTGCGAATCGTGTCAGTGAAATCCAAACATTAACTAATAGTTTGGAGTGGGGACATGTAAAATCGAACGACAATCCAGCTGATGTATTGTCACGAGGGTGTACGCCGAACGAATTAAAAAACAATACGCTTTGGTGGCATGGTCCGGTATGGTTAAAAAATAATGAATTTAAACATTCAACAGCATATATAGAAAGTTCCGCACATATAAATGATATCAAAAATGAAGAAAAGATTACGACTATTATAGTGTGTACTACAAAGGTGGGCGCGTCGTTTGACATTGATAAGTACTCGACGCTGAACAAATTATCGCACGTCGTTGCGTATTTATTACGATACAAAAACAACTCATTATCAAAACGTAATAATATTCCGCGAATTACCGGCCCGCTTAATACAGACGAGATATTAACTGCAATAAAATCAATAATTAAACTATTACAGGGCACATATTTTTCCTCGGAAATTAAAGATTTAAAAAGCAAAAACTATGTGTCATTGAGTAGTAATATATATAAATTAAACCCGTTCATAGACGATGATGGAATCGTGCGCGTGGGCGGTAGACTAACCAACGCGACACTTATTGATACAGATCAACGATTTCCAATTATTATACCTAAAGAGACAAACTTTTCGAAATTAATTATGTTACGCGAACACGAAAGGTTAATGCACGCTGGTCCTCATGCTACACTTGCAACGGTGCGATTAAAATATTGGCCACTCAATGGGCGGAGATGTGCGCGAAAAGTCGTATATCAATGCGTAAAATGTTTTAGGGCACGACCGAAAAATGTGTCACCTTTAATGGGTAATTTACCCAAATTTCGAGTCGATCGGGCGAGTAGATGTTTCGAGAATTGTGGAGTAGATTACGCAGGACCGTTTCTATTGAAATGCAGTAATCGACGAAATGCCGCAGCTCAAAAGGCATATATATGCGTGTTCGTATGTTTCGCGACGAAGGCTTTACATTTAGAACTAGTGTGTGATTTAAGCACAGATGCATTTATCGCTGCTTTAAAAAGATTCATATCCCGCCGAGGTTTATGTAAAAATATATATTCCGATAACGCCACTTGCTTCGTAGGTGCGAACAATACATTTAACGAATTAAAACAATTAATGTCGGTGGACGACCACAAAATACGGATTAATCAATTTATGACCAATAATGAAATGACATGGCATTTCATTCCTCCACGGGCCCCTCATTTCGGAGGACTGTGGGAGGCGGCGGTTCACAGCATTAAAAAACATTTAAATCGCAGTATAGGATCCGTAAAAATGACCTACGATGAGTTTTATACGCTAATAGTACAGATTGAAGCGTGTCTAAATTCACGACCACTTACCCCGTTATCTACTGATCCTTTTGATTTATCCGTCCTTACTCCTGGCCATTTTTTAATAGGAGACTCACTCTCAGCGTTGCCGGAACCAGAAATAAATAACTTAACCAATAATTTGTTGTCACGGTGGCAAAAGGTACAACACATTACGCATCAAATTTGGAGACGTTGGAGCTTAGAGTATCTAAGTCAACTCCAAGAACGTTCCAAATGGAATAAGCCAGATAATTCCGTTTTAAAAATTGGTTCCATGGTTTTGATAAAAGACCAAAATTTGCCCCCGTTACAATGGCACCTGGGACGTGTTAGCAAAGTATTTCCGGGCAGTGACGGCGTCGTACGAGTCGCAACGGTCAATACTCCAAGTGGGCCGAGGAAGAGAGCGGTGAGGCTATTATGCCTATTGCCAATACAAGATAACGATGAATCAAGTCAAAAAAAATAAAATGTTGTAACAAAAAAAAAAAAAAAAAAATAATGTATTATTAGGGTATTTTTCAATTAATTATTGTAATTTGTATTTATATTATGTTGAATTAACGAATTATTTATTATGTATATTTATATTATTTTCTACAACATTTTTGATTGTGGGCTAATTTTACTAGTCATTAATTTAATGTTTTGTTTAGCTTGCGTTTTATTCTAATTGGCGACCATGTCCATGATTATTTTTATATTATGTTGAAGACTATACTTCAAGGTGGCCCCCATGTTCAATGTACGAAATCTAATGTGTATCCATATCACTTATCGCTATCGCCCCGGGTCGGGTATAATATAACAGGCACGGGTCGTCAGTTAGTTATCCAACGTTGCGTCGGTGACAATACCTTCGAACTGCGAGTCACCTCATTAGTGACAAAAGTAACTCGATATTCATGTGTTAATTTTTTATTATTATCAATATTATATTAAATTATTATTATCAATAAATTATACAGTCCACTAGTTTATTTTTGTATTACTTATTCAAATTGAAACTGAGCCGAGACAATGTGTAAATCACAATTCCCAAATGAAATTAGTAAATTACTACATGGGTTTATAAAAGCCGGCTTCAAACATCGGCTTGTGTGGGAAATAATTAGTATGTGGTACAAATTAATATTTATAATATTTATCGGAAATATTGTTATTTTTGTGTCGACAATTTGGATATTTATAAACTGTGCGCGCCTTCGATAGATAACCGGTCTATTCGATCCATGGTGCGGTACCGTGCGCGGTGCAGTTTTGTACACAACCGTTATAGCCACCAGAGCAGCACTATAAGGTAATACAAATACGAATTTTTTTCAAAAACATGTCTCAGGAGAATCACTCTCATTTGGGCTACAATCATTATACAAAAACCAACTTTCGTCAACACGAAGGTGAGAACATTATCTGTGTTCCTATGTTGGATCTTTTAGATACCATCAAAATAGTAACTTTTATTAAACGTTAAATATTTGGTAATTTTATAATTTTCTACAGTCTAAAATAAAAACGACTGAGTAAACGTATACTTATTATCCAACATAGGAACCCAGATAATATTGTTATCCTTAAGTGGTCGAAATTTGGTTTTTGTGCGATAAATACAGCTCAAATGAGAGCAATTCTACTAAAACGTGTTTTTAGGTGGTGAAAACCTGTGTGTAGCGTCCTCTTAACATCATTTAACAAATTAAGTACCTAAGTTTAAAATAAAAAGTTCTCTGTTTTTAACATCATATAATGTAAATAAGTTAATCTTTATTAACCAAATAAAAAATAAAAATAATAATGTTGTAATAAAATGATTCAACAATTATGAGCAATTATAATAACCAATCATTTTGATTTATAAATATCAACATATTTTCATTTTTAGCTTTTAATCTAGACCGCCTGTCTGAAACAACTATACCAGCCTTACTGAATATCCTTTCAGATGGGACTGAAGTGGCAGGAACACATAAGAATTTTTTAGCACAAGTAGGAATAGTCCCAAGACTATCTTTATTAATCTGAAATATAAAAATTATAATTTTATTGATTTAAAATGAGTTTGTAACTATTTAGATTTTAATTTTTAGGTAGGTACTTACATTCCAGAATATTAAAGGATCCATATCATTATTTATATTAGGACGTTCCGTGTATTCTTTTAAATAAATGATTGAATTGGCAGTCACTGTCCTATTTTTACTCTTTTCAGCTATTCTTGTCTCTATAAAATCAAATAATGATTTACCAGAGTTAGATGCCGATTCTGTAGTATCATAACTTTCCTCTGGATTTTGGGGTAGTAATGATTCTTCATAGACATTTCGCTCTGAAGTAAAGAAACTGCACAATTAGCATAATCAGAAGATCTAAAAGCCCCTTTTTTCCAGTCTTGGATCTAATATTGTAGCTAAACGAGGTAAAGTACGTTCCTCATAATTAAATAATCTTGTTTTAACACTTTCAACTGTCTTTTGTAGTATAATCTTTCCTTCTGAAGTACTTGGTTGTAGATTAATAAGATGATTATAAATACCATACACTAAAGGTATAATCAATGACTTGGTAACATAATTACCTAAACAGAAAATTATCATATAAAATAAAAATATTTTAAACATTATACTCTATATTAAAAATTACCTGATACTTTTTTGGTTGCATCATCAAAACAACTCAATATTTCAATTAAATCTTGTAGACCCAAACTGTCTTCTAAATTTAAAACTGTAGGTGCATTAGGCATTCTTAATAATACAATTGTTATATCATTCTTAAGTTCTAGTATTCTTTTTATCATATGATACATGCTGTTCCACCTTGTAGGAACTTCCTGAATAACTTTTAGAGGCTTTTTGTTTTGATTTTCTTGCTCAGTTATTAGCTTATGTGTTGCTATGTTACTGTTTTTAAAATAAGTCACCAAACTTTTACATTTTTTTATAACACAATCAACTTCTTTAAGTTTTAATGAATCTTGGACGACCAAATTTAGTGTGTGAGCAAAACAAGGAAGGTGACGTATTTTTAGTATTTGACAAGCTTTAATCATTGAAGATGCGTTGTCTGTTACTATTGTAACAACTTTATTAACAATATCCCAATCTTTTATTATTAGGTTTATTTCTGTTGCAATATTCTCACTAGTATGATTAATGTCCATTTTGTTAGTGGACAAAACTGTACAATGAATTTTATAGTCTTTATCAATAAAATGACAAGTAACTGTTAGAAAACTTTCATTTGCTCTGGAAGACCACAAATCGCATGTCAAACTAACATGACAAACATTTTGAAGTAGAGCAAATAATTTTTCTTTACATATTTCATAATTTTGCTTTAATAGAGAGTCTCTTAACGTTGGCCTACTTGGTAATACATACCTTGGATCAAGTATTTTAACTAGATTTTGGAATCCTGTGTCTTCAACAATAGAAAAAGGTTGGAAGTCTTTACAAACCATTAAAATCAACGCCTTATCTATTTCTTTTCTTTTTGCTGTCACGGTCATAAACATTTTGTTTTTTAAAATATGTGGATATTAAATGACTACTTTGAGTATCTTCATCATCTGACTCAACTATAGTAGATTGTATTTCTGGGTGCATTCTCTTAAGATGGTCTTTGAGATTACTGGTATTGCCACTGGTTCTGTACTCTTTTTTACACTTGCAACATTTTGCAAGTGTTCTATCTGTACTTCTGGTAAAAAAAGTCCAAACATTAGAAATTTTTCTTTTACCCATTTTAAGTTAGAAAGAGGAACGAATACTTATTAACAAAATTAAAAATTTAACAAGATAAAACTAATAAATACTATTATAATCACAATTCACAATATAAATTGAAATTTAAAATTATTGATAGTGATAACGACTATCGAAAACTATCGATGGGGGCCTTCAAACTATCGATGTTGTACGATAGTAGTGACTATCGATAACTATCGATAGTTCTCCACCACTAGTCCGTGCTTGGCCGGTCGAATTGTCGCTTTCGTACCCGCGCCGTCTTTTTTGTCGTTGATGTTGTGTCTGGATCTGTCCGTCGACCACGTTTTCTCCGCGCACACGCCGTTTTGTATACGCGCGTTTTCTGCTCGTTGTGTTTTATTCGTACTTGGCCGTTTTCGACCTCCACGTGTGTCAACGTGCCAGTCCGTTACTGACTTAGGTAACGTTGTTTCTAGTTTCATTCACCGTAGTGCGTGTTCGGACCCCCTTGTCGTCCATCACCGTACGCGTGAATAATCTGCGATCGCGTTCGTGCGTTATACCGTGTAGTTAAGTTCGTCCCCGTTCGCTGATCCATCGTGGGTCGCGATCGGCCGAATTCGGGTTTTTCCCGTGATTTTCTACTGCACCCTGTGGTACGCCGTTACGCCGCGAGCGCCGCACCAGGTGTGCCAATTCCGTCATCGCAAGTGCGTTCGAACGGTGCACCGTTCCCATCGTGGTGCTGTCAGTTGGTACCAGTGTTGTCATCGTCGTGTCCAGGGGTCAGCGAAATTTTAAATCATGCCATCGCGGCTCCTAATATACCTCCCACCACTCCACCAATTTAACATGTAATCTTTATCATAGTTGTTAATTTGATACTATAGTGATACGTGTCGTGAATCATGATAAGACTATTTATTATCTACTAATTATTGTCGATATATAATTATAAATTAATATTAATATTAATTATTATTTATTTTATAAAATGGAAAATCAAGACGCTGAGGTAAATAAAATAATGTTATATAATGTTATAACAGTTTTTCTGTGTATGTGATTCAAATGTATTAAAGAAAAGAAATTAATACTACCGGTTATTGAAATTGTTGTTTGTATATATTATGTACTGTATTAAAGAGAAGAAATTAATACTATAAAAAAAAAAAAAAAAAATACCCGTTGTTGAAATTGTTGTTTGTATATATTCTTAAAGATTTCTATATCTTTTCTATATCTTAAAGATGCCATTGAAGAATATAACCAAGAGAGCCTTTCAGTATGTTCTAGTATGGAAGTACTTGATGATGGCAATTTCGCTATAGCAATTATAACACCATTAATGAAACGTATAAGTTCAAATTTTGAAGAAAGTGGAGAATATCTTTTTATCGATGCAACTGGAAATGTTGACCGTTTTGTTTGTAAGGTTTTTTTTATCTATACAAATAGTTGTGCTGGTGGGATGCTTGTTGGTGTTATTATTTTAACTAGTGAGGCATCGAAAATAATAAAATAAGGTTTAGAATTGTGGAAGAAGTTATTACCACCTAATGCATTAGGTAATAGAGGCATAAATGGCCCAAAAGTATTTATGTCTGATGACTCTGCCGCTGAAAGAACTGCTTTACATGAAGTATTTCCAAAAGCAACACTTCTTCTTTGTATTTTTCATGTACTTCAAGCCACCTGGAGATATTTATGGGATTCCAATCATGGTATTCCTTTAAAATTCCGTTCAATTCTTTATTCTGGAATAAAGAAAATGGTGCAGAAAATAATGATGAATTAAATATTAGTTTTAATAACAACACCCTTTAACAAACGAATTCCCGCGATTTAGAACATATGTTGAAAGATTATTTGAGAGGAAAAGTGAATGGGCAATTTGTTTAAGAGTTAATTTAATAACAAGGGGGCAAAATACTAACAACATTAGTGAAGCTGGCGTAAAAATCATGAAAGAGGTTGTACTAGATCGAACAAAAGCATACTCTCCAGTTCAATTGTTCTTTTTTATTGTTCAAGACTTGGACACATTTTATAAAATGAAAATTCTTGATGTAGCAGCAAACCGCCCACCTCAATATCTAAAAAAAAGATTTTTAATTACAAAAATACAACAAAAATCATTAAAATATGAAGCTATACAATCAAGTGACTCACTTTACTTAGTCCATAATACACTGAAAAATACCACATACAATATTGATCTAGATACTGTTCATGCCCACAAGGAAATACTGGTAAACCCTGTAAACATCAAATATTTGTAGCGAAAGATTTAAAAAGAGAACTTGGCCTTTGTTTACCTGTAACAGAAGAAATTAGGAACAAACTCCATGTAATAGCAACAGGATGTTCAGAGATTCAAGATGGATGGTATAGCTCCACTTTTGAGAAAATTGCAACTGACAAGTGTATTAATGTACAACATGATCACGCTGAAATTGAAAAAGAAAATGATCAAATCTTACAAAGTAATTTAATTACAGAAAATGCTTCATATGATTATAATGTCACTAAATTTAATGAGATGATTGAAAAAATTAAAAGTACATGTTTATCTGATGTTGAATATTTTTTACCCGGAATAACATGGTTAAATCGTTTGATAAAACAATACGAACACATTCTTCTTTACTGTCAGCTATGATGACATTTGGGAAGTATTCTGGTGTTGAACCAAATTCTAAACGCATGAAACTTATTGGTAACAAACATATTGGAATACAACCCACAGCTTGTTCAAGACGTTCTACACAAATCGGTGGAAGAAAAAATTTAGCAGCAGGGAGAGTCCCTAAATGGAAACGTGTTACTGAACATGGGTACACACAAAAACCATCTTCAAGTAAGCTACCTAGGACAAAACTTAATATAAAATCATTCAATCCATCAGAGTTGCCATTTAAAATATCAAAAGCCCCTCATAAACTATCTCATTGTGTCGAACAAAATAAATCATTAGGATCAAATCATTAAGCAAAATTATTATTATACTAATTATTATACTTATTATTATATATTTATTTATTATACAATTTTTAATTTTTATTTTTATTTCGAGTTCCTGTAATATATAGTATTCAATATTAAAAATTGAAAAATTAAACAATAAAACAATTGTAGTACTCTTACGAAAATAGAATATATATCAAAAAAATAACAATATATATACTTGCTACTTCATTTATTTACCTATTTCCATTTTCCATTTTTCCAATTTTACCGTTAAATATTGTATTATACTATATTGTTATTAGTTAATCTTAAGTTCTATTAATTCTTGAGTAATATACTATGGTAATATTTACATTTTTTTAATAAAAATTAAAAGAACATGTAATACAAAATCATTAAATTATCGTCGTTATCACAGAATATATCGACATATCAAACATGAACTATGATAAAGATTACATGTTAAATTGGTGGAGTGGTGGGAGGTATATTAGGAGCCGCGATGGCATGATTTAAAATTTCGCCAGGGGTCAGCTGTTATCAGTCCAGGCCATTGTCACCACCACCACCGGCAGATAAGACTTATTTTGTTATTGTTTACCTAGTATATATTTGTACATCGCCATTCCCCGTCAGTAGGTCATTGTACGGTATGATCATACCCCTCCCCGATTATAACACTATTGTTTTGACTATTTTCTACCTTGTAATAATACAGTTGTTCAGTGCCACCAGTGCACACCTTCAATTCGTGTTCGCTTATTTAATAGTATTGTAAGTTGTTAGGTTACCTTACTCTCCTTACACACACAAGTCACTTCAGCTTGCAAATACCCGCCGCAAGTGTGACACAGGGGAGTATGACACGGTACGCAGCGGCAACCAGTACAAAGTACAGGTACCGCAGCGGCCGGTCTACGTTTTTGTCAACCGCCACCACGGGCTACAGCGCGACATCGCCAACTCTCCCACCGCGCCACAAAGGCACAAGGCGGGACGGGAAGGCAAGTCGCGCAATACGAGTACCGGCCGCCGGCAATTCGATCTATCGCCCTACGACCGTTGTATCGTTTACGTGTACACACCACGGCACCCGACTATCGCACGGACACACCGAAAACCACGATTGTAATCGTATCAGCATCCGGACACACGGTGTCATCGTGTATATTGTTCGACCGTGTTTCACAAATAAAGTTTATTTTAATCAAGCCGAAACAAAACCTGTGTAAAGTTTCTTTTCTAAGAGTCACCTTCTCGGCTCTCACCACCAACACAACGACCGGCTGGTTGCGACCTTGCTACGCCACCACCGAAGCCGTGTCAATTGGCTCCCCGCAGAGGAATCTCCTCAATTCAGCGACAAGGTAAGAGTTTTCACGCTGACACATACCTCGGATTAACTGCTTATATTTAATTAGTAATAAGTTATTCGACCAGGAGTGTGTTTGCCGGTTAGCTAGGACCCCATAGAGAACATTACGTAACAATTATTTTTAGTACGTAACAGGGAAATCCACGCAGCCGTGCATAACCGTGATACGGATTGGGAAGTAGTTATATAACAACCACCACCCCTCCGCAACGCCTACCTTTCGCACCGCGACATTATCGACGATAAAAAAAGAGCGCGCAGGCCAAAAACCGGTTCAGCCGCCGCAGCCGACAGCTGCCACCACCGAGGTCGTTGACCCAGTACCACTATTTTTGGTACGCAACGGCTGCACTGTCGTCAGCTGATCTGTTACACAATCATAAATAATAAATATATAAATTGTCGTAGCTAGCGCGCGAAATTTAGCGAAAAAACAGAAAGCCTCCTCAAAACCGTGCACACCGCGCAACAAGCACAATCCACTGACCATACAACAGCGTAACGCTGGCGGACGGTCACACTGCAACAACCAGTGGCACCTCCACATTCGAAGCTAGGATAGGTACACTCGATATAAAATTCGAAGCTACCATCCTAGACAATTTGTATTGCGACGCGTTACTAGGACACGACTTTCTTGTAACCAATGAAGTCTCTTGGGATTACGCCGCATGCACAATTCACATGGGTAGGCAAATTCGTACGTCGACATGCTGGAAAGGGAAACCACAACCACCCGCCACTCGTCCCGACTTGTCACAATTACAATTTGGAAACGACCCCGAAACTCGCGCGAAACTAACCAAGATTTTAAACAAATACGCGGTAGTATTCAGCGAAAAAGTAGGACGTACCAAACTAATTGAACACGAAATTTTGCTTAAAGACCCGTCCCCAATCGCGCTCAAACCATACCCATATCCGCAGCAAAAACAAACCGCTATCGATGATATGGTGCGCGATATGGAACTCCAGGGGCTCGTAGAACCTAGCACCTCCCCGTGGGCCGCACCGGTAGTATTGGCAAAGAAAAAAGACGGAACTTTTCGTCTCTGTGTCGACTACAGGCGGCTTAACGACGTAACGGAATCCGACGCGTACCCAATGCCAGATCTCAACAAAATGATTAGGCAAATGAGGGGCGCGAAAATTTTCAGCATTTTTGACCTTAGGTCGGGGTACTGGCAAGTACCACTACACGAAAATGCGCGAAAATACACGGCTTTCCGGACACGTAGAGGTCTATTCCAGTTCAGAGTCCTCCCCTTCGGTCTAAAAAATAGTCCAATGACTTTCGTGAGACTCATGAACGAGGTCATGAGGGGGTACCAGGATGATTTCGTACAAGTTTACCTAGATGATATTGTAGTATTCTCAAGGGACGAGTACGAACACCGGGCACACCTGTAGACGAAGATCGACTCGA